GGGTTCCCGAGTCCGTCCGGTCATAAGACGATTCCAATTCTCTTCCGCACTGAAGCGTCAGAGTACCATCGCCACGGTTGTCTCCGATGACCGCAGCACGCACAAGAAGGTCAAATCAACCTTTGTTGGTGTCAAGGGTGCCCCCGAAACCATTAGGTCTATGTTGATCGACACCCCGCCGAACTACGAAGAGACCTTCAAGTATTTCACTCGTAACGGTGCTCGTGTCCTTGCTCTCGCTTACAAATATCTCTCTCATGAGGCTGAATTTACTCGCGCTCGTATCAACAACTACACCAGGGAAGAGGTGGAATCTGACCTGATCTTCGCCGGTTTCCTCGTCTTGCAGTGTCCCCTGAAGGACGACGCTATCAAAGCCGTTCGTATGCTTAACGAAAGCAGCCACCGTGTCGTCATGATCACTGGTGACAATCCTCTGACTGCCGTGCACGTTGCTCGCCAAGTTGAAATCGTGGACCGTGATGTATTGATCCTCGACGCTCCCGAGCACGACACGTCAGGGACCAGGCTGGTCTGGCGCAGCATCGACGACAAGCTTAATATTGATGTTGATCCCACCCAGGATCTCGATCGCCGTATCTTGGAAACCAACGATCTTTGTGTCACCGGCTACGCTTTGGCCAAGTTCAAGGACCAGAAGGCACTTCCAGACCTCCTTCGTCACACATGGGTCTATGCTCGCGTTTCCCCCAAGCAGAAGGAAGACATTCTTCTTGGTCTCAAGGATGCTGGTTATACAACTTTGATGTGCGGTGATGGAACGAACGATGTCGGTGCCTTGAAGCAAGCCCATGTCGGTGTCGCACTCTTGAATGGCTCCCCTGAGGATCTCACAAAGATTGCTGAGCACTATCGGACAACGAAAATGAAGGAAATCTACGAGAAGCAGGTAGCCATGATGCAACGCTTCAACCAGCCGGCCCCGCCTGTGCCTGTGCAGATTGCACACCTTTACCCTCCAGGCCCTAGCAACCCCCACTATCAAAAGGCCATGGAACGCGAAGCGCAGCGTAAGGGTACCACCGTCCAGTCCGCGCCAGGCCAAGCAGAGGCGATTCCCACCATCACGTCTCCTGGTGCACGTGCCCTGCAGCAATCTAATTCCAGTTTGACTCCTAATCAGCAGCGTCAGCAGCAAGCCTCCGTGGCAGCTGCCGGGTTTGCCGATAAGCTTACTACTTCCATGATGGAGCAGGAGCTGGACGAGAACGAACCCCCGACCCTCAAGCTCGGTGACGCCTCTGTCGCTGCACCCTTTACCAGCAAATTGGCAAATGTCGTTGCTATCCCCAACATTCTTCGTCAGGGACGCTGCACACTGGTCGCAACAATTCAGATGTACAAGATTCTTGCCTTGAACTGTTTGATCAGTGCCTACAGTTTGAGTGTTATCTATTTGGATGGTATCAAATTTGGTGACGGTCAGGTGACTATCAGCGGTATGCTGATGAGTGTCTGTTTCCTGTCAATCTCACGTGCGAAAGTAGGTATTGAAGCCTTCCATTAGAGATACCCGACACTAACTATTTACTGCAGTCTGTTGAAGGTCTGTCGAAGGAGCGCCCTCAGCCAAATATCTTCAATGTGTACATCATCGGCTCCGTGCTCGGCCAATTCGCCATTCACATTGCCACCTTGATCTACCTGTCGAACTACGTATACAGCATCGAGCCGTAAGTTCCATCTGCTTTGGTATAAGTCTTTCAATGCTTATGACTAACTCGTTCGCAGGAGACAATCCGACGTTGATTTGGAGGGAGAGTTTGAGCCGTCGCTCCTCAACAGCGCCATCTATCTTTTGCAACTTATCCAGCAGATTTCGACATTCTCGATCAACTACCAAGGCCGCCCCTTCAGAGAGTCCATTCGCGAGAACAAGGCTATGTACTGGGGTCTGGTTGCGGCGTCGGGTGTCGCCTTTTCTTGTGCAACTGAATTCGTGCCTGAATTGAACGAGAAGCTACGCCTGGTTCCGTTCAGCACCGAATTTAAGCTGACACTGACTGTTCTGATGATTATCGATTACGCGGGATGCTGGCTCATTGAGAATGTGCTCAAAACGCTGTTCAGCGATTTCCGGCCGAAGGATATCGCTGTGCGCCGGCCTGACCAACTGAAGCGGGAGGCGGAGCGTAAGCAGAAGGAGACTGGGCAGCAGTAGGCCCATTAAAGGCAAGAGATATAGACTATGGCTGTAAAGAGCTATGGCTGGTTAGAGTAGTTGCAGTTCTTGTCTAGATATATAGGTGCTGTTGGTTTGAAAGCAAGGCTTGTGAGACCTTGCTAATGTTGAAGGATGTTCATAGAGTGCTAGCTGTAAGTTTAGGTTATCTTTTAAGAGATAGAGCGTGTTAATGTCAAAGACAATTCTCGTGTATGCAGGTTGACGGTAAAAGCAATCAGCCGCGGTTTTTGAGTGTTCCAGACGTTGCGCGAATTGGAACCGTGGGGATAAGCATGGCCGGTGTTGATGCCTCAGGTGTGATATCTGCAGGCGGGCGATAAGCTGCGGATTAACTCCTGACGCTGGGCTGGTACATGTCTGGCACTCTCGGCTCCCTTCCCTTCTTGTCTTTCCCCCCTCTTAAGCTCCACCCCCGGGCAAGGCTGAAGTCACAGACTCCCCTTTCATCCGCCAGTCCCCTGATCCTACGGTCTGTGACCCCTTGTGGGATTTCGATTCTCATGCTCTCTTAAAATCCAGTCATCATGCCCCGGAGGACGCTGGGTGGAGGTCGTGTTCTTGGCCCCGCGAACGCTCGTTCTCCATCGGCATTAACCCCGTCTCCGCAGCCCAGCAATCCAAGACACCTCACCTTATCACCGTCCGCCAGCAGCGTTTCCCTGAATTCACAAGCCTCCGCATCCCAGGTTTCCTCCGAAGCTCAGGATCTTACGTCGCGCATTTCCCTCGAAAATGGTTCTGCCTCCATTCCTGCTGCTCCGGCAGCTGCCGGAGCTCAGTTAGCCTGTCCGATCTGCAGTGAGGAGATGGTATGACCTGTCCTACACACGTCCCTCTTATCGGGAAACCGTTTCAGTCACCACAAGACATGCTGACAGAAGCAACAGGTGACACTGTTGCAATTGAATAGGTACCTCGCTTGACGCTCGCGATATTTGTTTCCGTTTATACATGCGATTAACACGATCTCCAGACACCTCGATGACGTCCACCAGAACCTGGAAGACGATCGGCAAGATGAAGTCAAAGACTGGTTCAAGACGCAGATGGATAAAGCCAAACGGTTTCAACCACTCGCAGTTTTAAACCAAAAGCTCAAGGGCTTGGACGTGTTCGAATCCAATGAGAATTTACAGCCTTTTGCAGGCCCAAGTAGGCCCCCTGGACCTGTCCCGGCGCATCCGCCTGAACCCCCGAGAACACTCGACCCGGACGACGTTATAACGAGGGATCACTGGCAAGGCCGCACCCTATACGATATATGCTTGGAACCGTCGTGTGGAAAGCGGCTCAATGCTACAAATGGTTGTGTCAATTGTCGCAAATGCGGAAAGCTGTTCTGTGAGGATCATACTATGTATCAGATGAAGCTATCCAGGTCGGCTCAACATGAACCGGTCAGGGGACTATGGTGCAGAGTCTGTGAAACTTGCTATAAGTCGAGGGAGGGGTATAACGATCATAATGGTGAGGCCCCTTTTCCATTTAGAAAAGAGGCAAAGGACTTGAAGTTAACTTTCTTCCAGGGCTGGTGAGAGACCGCATGAGTGAGTTCAGAGCGATGAGGAAGCAGACAGTTGACAAGGACTTGCTGGAAGTTTCTCGCTTGGAGAAACGCTTGACACGGCTAACGCAACTGCTTGCAAGCCTGCCTGCGGAGCAGATTCAGTCGAGCACGAATAAGCTGTGGTCAATCTCATGGCAGGGCGATCAACGAAAAGCCCTTGAGCAAACCATAGTGAGTTGGCAGGATGACTCGAGTGTTTCCCGGTGTCCGTTTTGCCAGCAAGACTTTACTAGCTACACTTTCCGAAGACACCACTGCAGGACTTGCGGGCGAGTCGTGTGTGGTGATCCAGCAACTGCATGTTCCACAGAGGTCCCTTTGAGCATCTCACCTCGTATGTCATTGCCCGCGAACTTACTTTCATTATTCGGGTATTAACAGAACATAGTCGCAAAAACACCAGCAGAGAAGTCGCTGCGCGCAGGCATGATCAATGTCGATATCAGACTCTGTAAGGACTGCCGGTCAACCTTGTTTGACCGTCGAGACTTCGAAGCCGATATCATGAGGAAGCCGCCAGCTGTGCGGGCATATGAGAATCTTACTCAATTTGAGAGAGGCATTCGGATCTTGCTCCCTAAATTTCAGAAAATACTAGGGGCCTTGCAGTACGTACTCTACACTTAATCGCCCACAACTAAACTTAGCGACTACTAACATCCAATTACTGTCACAGGGATCCCAGGCGACCTCCATCGTCTGCACAGATCGCAGAAGCTTCCAAAGTCCGTAAGCGATTAACAGACTCGTTCGCCCAATATGACGTTGCTGCTCGACGAGTTCGCGATATGCAGACAGACTCCCCCACCCAGCAGCGACTCCAGAAAGCTATATACCAACAAGCCAGCAATTTCCTCCACCTTCACATGCTCCCTCTCAAATCCTTACCCAGAGTCCTCAAGCACGCATCTCCCAACGGGGGACTTTCTAACTCCACCAACTCCCCCGCTAGCCCTAGCCCTAGCAACGGTTCACTTGGTGGCCCTCGACGGCAGGGATCCGCTCTTGCGTCGATCAAGTACGGCAACATTGCCGCTAGCGGCAGCAATGCCAGTCTAGCTAGTGATACCAGCAGTGCCGTTTCCGCACTAGAAGCTGAAGAGAAGTCACTTCGGGAGCGGCTTATTGTACTGGAAGAGCAGAAGTTCTTCGTATCAGAAATGATTGCGGATGCAAACAGACGCCGCAAATTTGATGAGGTTAGCAGTCTTGCTATGAATATTGAAGATCTCACGCGAGAGATTGATCGAGTCAACGGAATGCTGGACGGCTTGGACTTTGAGGGTGTCTATACCGGTGCTCATTGACAAGCCTGAAGGCCTTGATAGAAACCTCCTCTCAACATTTCATTGCTCGCCTTAATCATCTTGGCTGCAGCCAGAAATGCAGGTTTCTCTGACAGCATTCTACTATATATGATCTTGGCCACAGCGCGGGCGCGGCGTTTGCGGATTGGTTTAATGAAAGTTGCATAGCATGGGCGTTGCGTTGTATGCATATGATCGTATATACTTATGGTCCCTTCAATCCCGTTTTGTTTGCTCTTTACTTTTGGCTTGCTCAAGTCTGTATGATCAAACGAATTGCTCGATACCATGACTGAGCGTCTTCACATTTGCTCTTGTAGATATTATTTATTGCGCCTATGAAAGCGCACATTCAACACGCCGTAAAAGTTTCCCTCGCCTCTTTGTCCCTGGAATACTGTTTCCATCAGGTACTTCCTTCGGAAGATACCTAACTAGTATGAGACATTAGCTCAATTCAGGAAATAATAGTGGCACGAGGAGAGTTCGACCTACCCAAACCAATCCATGCATGCAAGCAAGCGCCCTCCAACGTCCAACATGGGCGACTCCCCACCAGTACTCCTGTACTCCTATATTACACAGTACCAATTATCCACCAGCCAAAAGAGCCGAAAGCCATCTTACATGAAACTACGAGACCAAGACATATAACAGACCAGACAGACCTTTTCATCATACATACATTTTATTTAATCGCACCGTGGCACAACAAACACGAGAGTCCCTCCCGAGTGAGTGTACTAGTCTAGTTTCTTCTATGCAACGCCACGCGGAGTAACCGGCAACCCAACCCAGCCCAACTTCGGACCCAGCAAATCAAGCGGCTGGAGTGCGGGAAGGAACTTAAAAAGTACCATACCCACATCCCAACCCCCTCCCTCCCTTCAACCTCCGATCCTAGCCAGCCAGCCAGCCATAATGATAATAGTATGAATGGCAAATGCAGTTCCACAACCCCGGTTGTGTGTGCAGGAGCAGGGAAGGTCGCTGTTAGGTGGTGGCCAATTTTGAATCGGAGACCCAGTCGATGGTATACACGTGGCATATGTGGTTGTGCTACGCACAGGTTGCTTTTTGGTGGAAAAGAGGGAAAGAATCTGGAAGAAAGTAAAGGAGAGTGTATTTCTCTGCTGATAATAGTTGGGTTGTGCCCGCGGGCTTTTTTAGTATCTATTATGCGTTGCGCCTTGGTTTCCATATCTGACTTCTTTGCACTTACCCTGTGCACTTGGTCGGTACCTGAGTGGGTACATACATGTTCAAGTGAGCGAACGATTGGAGTGAGTGGGTTTCGTTCGCCTCTTCTACCCCTCGATAGTGCTAGACTATTAAAAACGGCGGTAAGGCACATTGTTCTGCCTGATTGTCTGTCTGTCTGCCTCTTCGCACTACTTTTCGTGTAATTCTTTCGTCAATCAGTGCACAGTGCTGTGGGCAGGGAAAAAGGCTTATCTGTCGCTGAGTCACATCTGTAATGAAGAATATTAGAAAACCTTGAAACATAGAGGTTCCTGCCGTCATCAATAACCAACCGACTTAATCTCCTTTCCTTTGACTCAACTTGACTCTTCGATTGTGCGCTATCATGGCCGAAACCGAGTCCCCACCTGGCCCCAAAGACAAACTAGAGGTTGCCTTGTTCCTTGCCGCTAGCAAAGGGTATGATACCATTGTCACGCTTCTGTTAGGCACCCCTGGCGTGACTCTGGACTGCAAGGATGAACTAGGTCGGACGCCATTCTTCTGGGCCGCCGCCGAGGGCCACGACAAGGTCCTCCAATTGCTCCTTGGAACCGGTGCTGTGGACCCAAACATCAAAGACGCTAAGCGTGGACAGTCGGCAATTTGTGCAGCTGCGGAGGGCGGCCATGAGAGCGTTGTTGCCCGGTTGCTTGGTGTCGGAGTGGATTGCCATGCTGCGGACTCTCAAGGGAAGACACCGTTGGCATATGCGGTCGAAAAAGAGAGTGTATCGATCCTGAATATACTGCTAAAAGCGGGGGCAGATCCAAATGTGATAGATGAGGGCGGCCTGATCCCATTATCGACTGCGGTAGAGAAAGGCAATCCTGATATTGTGGAAATGCTTTTGAAGTCCGGGGCTGATCCCAATGCTGTGGCTTCGAATGGGTGTCCGCCACTATTGTCGGCGGTGCAGGCTGATAATGAAGTCATCGTGCAGTTGCTTCTGGAAGCGAAAGCGGATCCTAATCTTAAAGACTCGGAAGGGAATGCGCCACTATTGTGCGCTGTCGAAGCAGGAAATGAAACCATGGTGCAGTTGCTGCTGAAGGCAGAAGCAGACCCCAATGTGAAGGATGCAGAAGGAAAAGCACCGTTGTCATACGCTGTAGAAGTGGGTAACGAAATCATTGTGCAGATGCTGCTGAAGGCGAAAGCAGATCCCGACGTCAAGAATCCAGAAGGAAGAGCGCCGTTGTCATGCGCTGTGGAAGGGGGGGACGAGATCATGGTGCAGATGCTGCTCAGGGCTAACGCTGACCCTGATGTGAAGGACGGGGACGGGAGGCCACCGTTGCTATGGGCGGTTGACAAAGGATCCGAGGAGGTAGTGCGATTATTGATTGCGTCTCGAAGGGTGGACCTCAATGCAGTCGATGATGGTGGCCGTTCTGCACTGTGGTGGGCTGCAATGTCTGGGCAATTGAATATCGTCCGGCTGCTAGTTCGGTACGGAGCAGATATGGAGATGCAGCCTTCCTCAGGAGAGAAGTACGAGCAATGTGGCACGCCCTTGTACCAGGCTGGCCGTCGGGGCCACTTCGATGTGGTCAAGTATCTGATAAAGAAGGGGGCAAATATCAATGCTCCGGCTGGAGAACCAGGTCTGTCGCTACTGATATCGCTGGTGCTCTTTGACCGAACTAAGAGGGGCAGACGAATGCTTGAGCTTCTGCTCGATAGAGGCGCGGACATCAACTCACAAGACGGGTCCGGGAAGACAATCCTGGATCTTGCAGCGGCAGCCGGCGACGTCGAGCTGGCCGAACTCGCATTAGAGCATGGAATTATGTTAGAAGCCACCGCGAAGGATGGCATGACGGCCCTGCATCGCGCAGTACTACATCAGCACGATATCATCATGGACATGCTCCTGGACGCTGGCGCCGATGCTGAAGCACAGGATGGTAACGGGGACACACCATTGCACTTTGCGGCAGACCAGTGGCCGAAGGGGACTCTTTGAACTATTTCTAGAGAAATCCCCCGACATCAATATTACTAACTTCTCGGGTGAAACTCCGCTGCACAAGGCAGTGCAACGGGGTCGGCGAAAGATGGTTGAGTATATGCTGCAAAATGGAGCCGACGTCAGCATGCGCGATGACTATCAAAGGACGCCGCTACATAAGGCCGTAGGGTCCGAGAATAACGTTATGAGATTATTAGTCAATCGGGGGGCGGATGTTCATGCGAGAGACATGTTCGGCCAGACTGCCCTTCATATGGCAGCAGAGGCCGGGCTAGCGGAGGATGTTTACTTCCTATTGGGTCATGGAGCAGCCGGAGATTTACCAGATGATCGTGGTCGAACGGCACGGGACTTGGCTGTCAAGGCGAAGAAGAAGAGTGTCATAAGAATCTTTGAACGGATGGAACTAATGGTTGCCAAAGATGAGGAAGAATCATCCTCCGATGTTTCGTCTGATGAATGAGGATGTACTGTAAATGTGGACGAATCTCAGAAAAGATAGATTCTGAGGTTCAGGTATCTTTACTCTTGATATATGTTGATGCTAATGGTGCTATTAACATAATCACTTAACGGATGGAAATTTCACTATGGTTTAGTCGCAGTCGCTCCGCGCTCGTCGTAGCTGGGTCTTTCCTCATCGGGTAATTGGAAAGAGTATAAACCCCCCCCCCTTCTCTCCTTTCTCCTCTCCTTCTTTGTCCTCAGTTCGCTTCCCTTTCCCCCATTTCTTCTCTGATCCAGCACACAATCCAAGGCTAGAAGGTGTAGGCCATATGCCAATCATGAAGGTGATGATCGTATGTGCGCGTTGTAGAGCTCCACAGGAAGCATAGGAGAAAGGCGCTTAGCATCCACTTTCTCTCTGGGCCACAAGATCTTCCAGTGTGCAGACCAGTTCATGGGCTAAGTAGTTGCACTGGTATTTGCACTATAGCCTCGCAAGATTAGTCGGTTTTCTTTTTTCTTTTTTCCTCTAAACTCATCTTGACGCTGTAAACCAAAAACCCCATCCCATTCCGAACACGCATACTTCATCTTCTCACCGGGTTCCCTGACCCTCACCACAAAGCCGCGGNGCCATCTTCCTCCTTCACTCCTTCACCCCATATCTCGTACGAAGCGTCTCTGTAACTAATTTGGTGATGTTTCCAACCGTTTTCGCCTTGATGATGTCTCCGAGCGAGACCTCCACCTCAACCTTGCGGCGCAGCCAATGTTTAATCTGCAGGCCCATCAGGGAATCTACCTCAAGACGACCGTATTGGTCTGCATCCATCTCCTCGGTCAGCCCGTTATGCGTAGCAATCTGCTCCCCCAGTTTCTCGATAATCAAAGCCTCACATGAGCCGTCAATCAGGGGTGTGGGGTCATCTCGAAGCGACAAGAGTTGCCGCTGCAATTGCTCGTCGTCGATATCCCCGGTGGTCGACACGTCCGTTCCTGTTGGAAGAGTAGAAAATCGTGCATCTTGTTGGAGCCATGGATTGCTGGTCATAACGGCCGGAGAAAGTCCGGAGACCACTATTGCTGGGACGCGTCGTGGACAAACCATCTTTTGCTGAAAGAAGAGCCAGCTGGAATGCCTTCAGCACATCGCCTTCCCCCATCATGTGGTGAGAAGCTTGACGAGCTTTAGACAGAAGCTCCGGCTGTTGTGACATAAGACCCATTTCATCCACGGGCCCAAGGCTGACCAACGATGCGGGTAAGCCTAGTCCTCGACGATACAGTACAAATCCATCCAAGAACGAGTTTGCTGCCGCATAATTGGCCTGTCCTGGGTTTCCAATCATGCTGACTGCGGAGCTGAAGACAATGAAAAATTCTAGTGATCGGCCCTGGAGAGCATTGTGAAGGTTCCAAGTCCCTTGGACCTTGGTTGCCAGACTTGTGGTCCAGTCTTCGTATGACATCTTGTCGAATAGCTGGTCCTGCATATCGTGTTAGCAATTTGCAATCCGTCAACTGCATGACAGATCTGATTACCTTCAGAACAGCTGACATTTGTATAACACCGGAAACTGGACGTCCATTGTTTTGAATAGCGCGCTGAACGGTATCTGCATCAGCGACACTTCCAGCGACCAACACAACGTGGCATCCTTGAGTCTCAAGTTCTTGAGCAAATATATGGTCTTCTTCAAGGGATCCAGCAGATCGGGAAAGGAACACGAAGTCACGAGCTCCATGTTCCACCATCCACCGGACAACAGCCCGGCCAATGCCTCTCAAGCCACCAACAAGCAGGTACGAGGACGTCGGCGAGAAGCTAAACCTAGCCTGTGCGGGAAGTAAGGGATACTTGCTCTCATTGTCGGGAATCTCAATAATAAATTTTCCGATATGCTGGCCCTTTTGCATCTGCCGCATAGCATCTTCAACCTGGTCCACTTGAAATACAGTATGCAGAGGCCGGTACGTTGTTTCCTCTAGGTCACTAATAGCTTTTTCAAGAGCCCTAGTAGGACATTTTAGTTCCTGGAATGCTTCAACCAAATGAGTAGGTACAACATACCACCTTAGTGTTTCAGCATCGTGATGGGCCACACTATACAAGTCGAAGCCACAGTATGAACGACACCCTTGAAATCCATTTAGGTCAAGCATGCCATGGCCCAATATGTCTCTTTTTCCAATTTCGAGCAATTTGCCGAATTGAGCAACACATTTCCAGGACGCTCGGAGAAGCTCCCCAGCTAGTGAGTTGAGAACCAGATCGACGCCCCTGCCATTGGTCTCCCTCATGATACCTGAGAGAAATGATACACTATGTGAATCGAAGATGCGCGAGCGTGGAATTCCGAATGACTTCATCAGATATTCAACCTTTTCGTCGCTACCAACCGAGGCAAAGACCTGTTCCTCTCGTTATCACAGTATTTCATACAGTGGTTAAATGATCTGACATACCTTGGCGCCGATGTTCTGACAGACATGCACTGCGGCCAATCCGACTGCACCACACGCAGAATGAATCAAGACAGTCTGACCCTTCTGCAGCTTTCCTATTTCTATCAGTGTGTATATAGCCGTCAAATAAGCACTTGGAGTGGCGGCAGCTTCTGCCAGCGTGAGATGCTTGGGAGCGGGGACTACCCGATCAGCTGGGAAGACTGCCAGTGTTTTCGTCGGTTGCGGGTCAAAAACGACGACTGGATCGCCGACTCGGAGTGTTGTCACCTCCGATCCCACGCGAGTTACAAAGCCACTTCCCTCGAAGCAAAAATCCATTGTCTTGGTTCGTTCCACGACACCCAGAGACATCATGAGGTCTTTGAAGTTGAGCGCCAAGTAGCTGGCCCTGACTTCCACATCGTGTGGACCGACCTCTTCCGTATGAATGGGTCTCCATCCAAGCGAGCTCAAGTCTCCGATAGTTTGAATATCTAATAGATAAGAACCTGGTTGATCTGCGACATTGAGGTGGTCTATAACCTTGGTGAGGGCTGCACGACCGGTGTGGCCTACGCCCCGGTGCATTATGAATTCGAAATCGCGAATTGTCCTTCCCGCAATTGGCATACCAAGATGCTTGTACGCTTGAGTTACCACATGGAGCGCAGCATCGTCAAATGAGTCTATCTCACAAGTGCCGATGTCAACATTCAGCTCACTCCGCAATGTGCGGACGAGGCCAAGTATGAGGCAAAATCGAGGATCCTTGCATTCAATCTGCATCGAATGGGTCACCCAGAGGAGACGCTTCACCGTGGACATCCAGCTTTGAATAGTACTGTAAGTGTGTTGGGATATGTCATGTAGAAATGGACTTTCAAAATCGAGTAATGCGATAACGTCTTCGGTGGGGAACTCTTCTCCAAGGTTGCACCAACGCACGTCATATCCATCGGAGGACAGGCAGAGAGCCAGACTTTGTATCCATGAGTGGTGTCTAGTCTCTGCTGTGCAAAGCAGGTTGATGGGTCCATGCGGGGAATCCACCACTGGGTTTGTTGATAGCATCAGTACCTGCCAGTAAAGTGGTGCCGGTGCATTGTATTGAACATTGTCAAGCCCAGAGAAGCCCGCCTGGCATAACTCTTGTTCCCAACGCTCCACAGAAACGTGAGGCTTGTCCCCGCGATTGTCACCCATGCCCAACCACCAACTTGGAAGACTACCCATGACAACATCAACGTGTGGGATTTCTGAGCAGGGCTCGTATAAGAGCAACCGCCCCCCAGGCGCAAGTAAAGAGCGGATATGTGCCAAAGACTGACTAAGAACAGGTGTTTCGTATAGGACATTGCACACAATCACTAGATCGTAACTATCTTCTGTGAAGCCCTGATATGTTGCACTCTTGGAAATATCCAGAGTTTTATACTCCATTCTCGGTATATCTCCAAAACGCTCTTCCAGGTGATTGACCAGTCCAGGTACGCTGTCCGTTACCGTGAATCTACTGAAGAGACGATCACCATGACTAGTGGTTAAAGCTTCCAGCATAATCGCTGTTGCTGAACCAGACCCAGCACCAACTTCTAAGACACGCAGACCTGGATTTGCGTGAGAAAGAGGCCCAAGGAATCTGTTCCAGTCGTAGAGTTCGAGTCCCCACTCAACAATGCCCTTCATGGTAACTAATAGCGAGGTGTCTTGGAATATGCCTTCGCCTATCAGCTGGTCCGGACGCTCACGGGCATACACCCAGGCATCGTTATAACATCGTTCAACCCTAGCATCGGGATATTGGCCTTGTAAGGATTTGAATAGAGCCTTTCGCTGCTCCCTGTCCATATTTTTCAGCTGCATAATACCAGGAATATGGTCATATTCTCCCTGGAGTATTTTCTTGCCAGTGTCCATACTGAGTTTTCTGTACTTCTCCAAGTACGAGGGCAGCAAAGTCTGAGGAGCCAAGGCCTCGATCAGCTCAAATACTAGAAGGAAGCCCGCTATGGCCAGGTTTTGTGTCTTCTGTTGATCCAAAGCAACTGGCGATGGTACTTGTTGGGTCGCAGGCAGGAACCTAATGTCCGGCTTCCATTGAATATGAGTTGCAAGCTTCGGTCCTTTCGTTTCCTGGCCGGCTTCTGGGATGGGCAATAAGCGCAGTCCCTTCATTTCCAGAACGATGTCACCCGTTGATTCAGATACTACCTTAAAGTCTCCGCTTAGACTCTCTTTTGCTGGGTCGGTTGTCGTCGCCTCAACGAGCATTGAGCTGCTTCCTGGGGCCAAGTAAACCCGGTCGATATACAACGGCATGCCCGCCTTGTCAGGATAGTGCGAGACACCCTTGTCACTGGCAACTAGCATTACTTGAAGGCACTGATCCACAATTGTTGGATGTATTGCGTAGTAGCTGTCGTGGGATTCGCGGTCATCCTCCACTCGCCCACGGGCTGCATTCGTTAGTGGACTGGCGGTGATATCCTGCAGTCCTTCAAACAGGGATCCATATTCAAGGCCTTTTTTCTCGCACCTGCGGTACCATCTGTACGACGAAATCTGTCG